AGCCTCTCAAGCACATTTTTTGGCAAACTGAATGGCTAACAAATCCAGCTTCCCTGCATGACAGAACATGTTTTTTTCATGGCAAAAGATCCAAACAGGGAGAAATAAATTCTCTAACACATTTGTATTGTTTGAAAAATAGCCCTACTTAGAGTAACACACCCATCTAAGGTATTTCTGGAATTTCCACATCTTGGGAAAATTTACAGACCCTTAAAAAAAAAGCTAAATAGGAGAGGTGTGCAGGTGTGGCCCAGAGGGCTGACAAAAGCAGATTATTGTACAGTTTTCATTCACAGTTGGAAGAGAGTCAGCAATGCCATCATCAAGACATTTAACACAGCAGCTTCTATGCAGGCTCTTATTACTTGCAAGCTTTGCCTTAAGGAAAGACAATCTAAAAATGTTGCTTTTTACACTATACAGAAACACGAATCTCAAACGACAGGAAAGCAGTCTACCTGCCAAACAGCCTAAGGGGCACCTAAACTATCCAAGTTGCTGACTTGAAAGAGGGAGAGCTGCATTGTTGAAATGGTTGTTCTCCTTAAAATGGCAACACCTTCTCTACAACTGGGGATAAGACTGATAAAATCTCTTATGCTTAATTCCAAAAGCACTATTCTATAGAGCGACACGTGCATTCTGGTGATAGTTATACATGTTAATGCTCGTCTTTGCAGAGCATAAATGACAGCCCCACTTTCCCCTCTGGTTGTAGAGCTGCGTACGCACTGGCTATAGACGGCTAATAGCATCACTCCCACATAATGACACCCATCTGGTGTACAGCTCCCTCGGGTCAGGCACATAGCAGGAACACTGAGGATCTGAGTATATCACCATTAGGTGACAGGCAATTGGGACTATTGATTACACTTACACAACTGCCCCCCTAGCTGCTTCGTACACTGTATACACTAACTAAACATTTCCATCAATTTGCCATGGATTTATGGTACACTAATCAGCCAATACGTTAACTACACTATACTCTAGCTCTGCGTAGCACGAAGACAGTGGGGCAAAGCGCAGTACTAGTTAAAATAAATATAAAGTTGGTGACAGCAATCATGGAGCCAATGACGTCCTCAGCATGCCTAAAGTGTGAAGAAACAGAGGGCTCAGCTGAGGGCTCCGGGGTACTGCAAGTGTGTCTCCACTCAAACAGAAAAACAGTGTCTGTCTGCACGAAAGTGCACTAATTGTTAGTGAAAGATACAGCACTGCCCACTTGAGTCCAAAACATGGCTAACAAACATCCACAATCAGTGGATATGCAAGTCCTCTACAGTACATTATAATATGTTTCCAGGCTTTTAAACATGCAGCAACATTTACGCGTGAAAACATCATTATGGCTTCAAGCAGGATGGGTGACAACAACCACAAGCTTTCCTTTATGTGCTTGAAAACAGATCCCTCCATTCCTGCTGTGGTATTTACATGTTTTATGGAGGAATTAATTACAAGCTGCGTGGACAGTGGTCTTGTGTGCAGTCGCATTCTTATCCCACTGAGAAGCTTCAGCAAACACTTGAACTCCAAGTTGCAGCCATGCATTCATGTCTAAAAAGGTCATATACAAAGGGCTGGAGTCTACGAGATGGCAGGTACTAGTTTTGAAATGATATTAAAGTTGTCTCGGGCAACCGCAAAACAAATTCCCCCACAGAGTTTCTACAAGTTACTTCAGTCTTCCTCGAGCATGTTGATTTCCCAACACGCATTCTTCTATCCACTTCTCCTCTCCTCCCTTAGGCGTCCCTGGCAGTGCACCAGAGTGAGGATGAATAAATAATATGAAGGTGTGGTTGGATGTCTGGGATCGTGACTCAGGATTCCATTTCCCTGACAGAAAGCCTGGACGGTGTACGTTTCAGTTGCCTAGCAGCTTTTTTTTTTTTTTTTTCCAGGAAAGCTGGAACAATCAGACGGAGCACCAAACACCGAACGCACCCTGGACACAACAAAAGGGTCAACTCCTTTATCCAAGCTGAGCTCTGAGGAAAACTGATACCAAGCAGGTAGGCTTCAGGTCCTCGTCACCCAGATGTTGTCACTGTCACTGGACACTTTATATGTGTCTGAAGCATGAAATTGGAGCTTCGTGCTTTCCTTTGTGAAGCCGTATTATGTCATCTCGGTGCAGCCCTGTGAAGTGATCCCCTCATTGACACACAGGACTTTGAACGTGCACTGATTCTCTACAGACTCTATAAGGAATGACATACATACCTGAGCCTAATAAAGACAACATTCTTCTGTAATGTTGAACACCTTGCAAACGCCTGTTGTCTATTATGCAAAACCTACCTATAAATACAAATCACTTCATTACTCCACGTTTGTTTTTGTGGCTGTTGTTTTATTTCACTTTCATTCATTTCCAGTCCTACATTTAAGTGGGAGATCCTTTGATTCATTCTATGCTCTCATGTATATGTGATAATCATGTTTCCCTTGGTCTTTAAATGTATATTTGGACTCGTAATCTATCTGCTTTAACTGGAAAGCTCGTTGAGTCAGCACTTCATTCAAAAAAAATTCCAAACGGAAGTGACCGATTACATTTTTCTGTCACCCATATCTTCATTCATTCAAAAAAATAAATAAAAAAATACCACCCCCTGGCCACACACACACACACCCACCCGTTCAGAATGCCCACGTGCTCTAACTCAGCTGGTCTGAAGTCAACAGGGTGAGAATGAAAGTGAAGGATTTAAAGATTGCCAGCATTCATGATGAGCTCCAAATGTTTTGTGTAAAATGCAAACAGGAGGAAGCTGAAAACGTTGTTTGTTTTAAATATATATTATGATTTATAATCAACAGTCTACCAAATATTGTTCAAAGCTGTGTGGGAGCCTGTTACCCATATCACTCCAAGTGTGTCAGGGGTATACTTAAACCTTAATTATATCACCCTAAAAGGCACGCGTAGTCCTGCTCAACTGATCTGAAGTCAGTTATTTTCTCCAAAAACGTGTGCGTAAGAAAAAGCAGGTCTCTCATTGCTCCATAAAGTTTTAATAGACACTGATGACAGTGAGCGTTGTGGCGCAGAGGAGTGGGAGTTAAGGTGAGTACTTACGACCAGCACCGACGTCCTCACCACCTCCGAGACACTTTGCCTGAGTTCAGCAGCGGTGCCAGGTTTACCCAGACCCCGCGTAAATTTCCTGGTTTCCGGATGCACCGGAGTGGCCATCGCTACGCGTCCCTTGGGATTAATTACCGTCCAATCCACGCGTTTTATCAACAGTTTACAGGAAACTCATCATCGGCTTATCCGCGCCTTCGACCGCCGCTAGTGCGCACCACGAGTTTGAAGTTGGGTCATGTTGTGGTGTGGCCGCTGGTACGACGCTCCCATTCCTCGATTCAGTTTTCGTTCTTGAAAATCAACACATGCCGCATCGCTCCGGAACTCTGCCTCCTCTTATCGGGTATTGTTGACACAATAAAGTGTCCTCTTGAGTAGCGTTTCATTGACCGTCCAGCGCCAGGCAAGAGATGTATAATCTGTTTTCTCCCTTGCGTACTCCGCCTCTTACCGGCTTGAAGTCCTGCCCACTTGCTGTGTGTGTGTAAGCTGGTGGGCCTGGACTTTGGACTGCGTGCAGTTACAGTATGAATGACTGGATCAATGCTTCCCCATTACCACAAAAATCACAACCGTGGCGAACAAGCCTCTGGAGTGTCATCACAACATTCCTCTTTTGTGACACCGGAAACTGGCCTTTAAAACAGTATCAAACGGTACTGTTTTAAAGGCCATTTTTCCAAAGCTACTACAAAAAACAGATTATATTGAAAATAACTGAACTGGTTCAGTGACACACTATAAAAGACTGAATTTATGTACTACTTGTGAGTTAAAAACAAAAAGAGTACTCCCAAGTACTTGTATAGAAGCCTTCTAGCTGCACTTTTCATCTGATTATCTTTATTTTAATTTTTTACCCAAATTATTATATCTATCTAAAAGTAAAGTAATAACTAAAACCGGGAAATGATATTTTATTTAACTGAAAAAAGACCATCCTTTAAAAGAAGCTGACTAAAGTATACTGTGTGCTTATATAAAACTAAAATGAAAATCCTTAAATTGTGTTTACGTTTAGTTTATGTCAATGTGGTCAGGTTTGTCAACACATGTAGGATCAGGGACTTTGGTGCATATGCTTTTTTTGTAAGTGTTGGTATAGTAATCATTACCATAAACCTGTTTAATGAGCAAATCTCCCCAGCAAACCAAATGAAAACAAAACAAAAACTCAAAATGAAATAAAAATAGAAAGTATAATAACTTTAACTTTACCTCTATTGGCCTTTTAAAACTATTGTCCACTACCTTTATTTACCATGTAGCAATTTAAACGGTGACGCCTTACCTTTAACTAACAATTTCAGCTTTTAGCTATCAGTTTATGAATTGCTAAGCTAAAGAGCTAAACGTATTGACGTAATTTAATCCCATCCTTCAATTGCTTATTCACGTCCTTTCAGGTTTCCAGTTACATTTGTTTGCTAATATTACAGCAAAACCTTCTAGCAGTTGCTATTTAGCTAACACCGTTAGCCATTTTGTAAGCTATTTTAGCTATTTTACCATTAAAAATAACTGTATTGATTTTTGCTGCCATTTTCTACGCCTTATAGATTACTTTAACTTCATTGTTAACTTTTCTGTTCATACCTCTTCAAGTCCGCTCAGTCACAGTTAAGCTAATCTTTGGCTAACTCCCTGTGCGGTAGTTATTTGTTAGCCCTGGATGGGAGTCACAGCTGATAGCAGTGTATCCTCCCCACAAAGAGTACAGGACAGAAGGGACACTGTGCAGTGATGGCTTGACTGAGAAAGCTTTCTTGGTCAGTGATGCCATCTGCAGGCCACAGCCAACAGAGCCATAAACACACAGCACATCTTCTTTTTACCTACTGAAAATCACCCCTGCCTCTGTACTGGAAAAAATACACAGAACTCGCAACAATCCGAGTTTGAGTATGTTTTTTTTTATTGCTTTCATTTCCAAAGAGCTCTCTGCTGTCTGGAAAAAACGCTGCAATTCTAGGCAGAACTGAGGTTTTCCATCTCATATACTTCACTGCAAAACCCTGTCAAATGCATATTTCCATTCATTCAGACCCATAAACAGATCTGTGTTCATATGGGGAGGCAGCCTAGTTTTGTGAGGGCAACGTCGCTTGGAACTGAAAGTTTCTGTTTTGTTTTGCACATAATCCTTAAAGCTTTCAATTACACTTGCCATCATAACGCAGCAATTATGAGCACATCTCACATTTTCTCACACAACTGAATGGGAACTTCAGAGTTAATTTATATATATGCATATATATATATAAAAAAGCAGAACTCTGTGATTGGAATCATACAACAAATTTCAGCAAATAGAACATTTACTTCACTTAAAACGGCATCAGTGGTGATGGCAGCCACCCCTGGCCACAATGTCGAGGTTTACGTCAATAATACGACAAAATAATTTCATTTCCTTCTTTTTGTGCTGGGCCAAGCGTGATCAGAGCATCAGCTGTTAAAGGGTGACCGTTTTTCGTAGAATGAACACGTAGACAAAATGTTTATGACAATGCAGTGAGAGTTTAACCATCTAAGAAAGAATACTGAATATCTAGTATCAATGTGTTCCTGCATTTAAAAACAACCGATGACAAACATGTAAAACCAGAAATAGAGGAAGTGGTTCAGACCATTAGAAAACAGTATAAAATGACATCCTTAAAAAGAGGTTTCAGAGTTGAGAGTAAAAATGCCAAAAATGCAGTCTCTGATGCAGTCTAAACCAGCGGACATGTCACCATTAAAGCATTAAAAAGCACCAAATGTGCATGGACACATGTACAAATGTCCCAGATATGCGTAGAAAAGAAAAGCAAAGAGTCCGGAGTGGGACAGGACGGGCGGATGCCACCCGAAGGAGAACGGGTATGGAAACTAGGTGAGCCAACTCATTAAGCGTGGGTCTCTTTGCCGTTCAGACCACGAGCTCGACTTGAGGGGACAGTAGCGCTGCGGATGACCTCCATCCACCTAAAGGGCAGAGAAAGGGCTTTTTAATCAGTCCTTGAAACATCGAGGATGAAAGAAAACTTTTAAAAGATGACACATTTGGTACCTCTCGAATGTGTATTCACTCTCTGATCGGAAGTAGTAGACGTGGGACTTGAAATGCAGCTTGAAGACATAGTCCTTGTGGATGTTTTCGGACTCAGAGGGGACGGTGACCGAGTAACCGAGCAGTGGAAGGCTGGCCAATGGGTAATCATCCTAGAGAGGGGGAAAAACAAAAGTGATTTAAATAATTTGTATTATATCCTGTAAATAATTTCAAAAGGAATCAACAGACTGAGTAACAGACATCAAAAATGTAGATGGGGCAAAATATGACACAATCCCTTCCATAATAATGCAATCATGTCATCCCTCTGGTGGTTTTCCAGAGGGAGCCAATGAGGCTTGCTGTGAGAAAATACTGAAGAACAAATGAGTAATTAATCATATACACAAAGGACAAGCTTAGATTTTTATAGAACTCTGCTCTAAATCCACGTGGGCCTGGCATTGCATTATTTAGTATCAAAAACAATGCTATACTTTTTGTTTTTTATACCCTTTTTGCTGAAAGTGCACATTTTGTAAAGATCTGTTCGTGTAAAGCAAACAAATTTGACAGCTAGTCTAAACTTGGGTGAATCGAGTGTTCTAGTTTCTGAACTAATGCAGCTTTAGCTTTGGTGTAAGTGTGGTTTTGGCATCTTCATTCGCTTGTATGGTCTGTTAAATGGGCTGGTCCTTCTGTAGTGCTTGTCTGCTCTACTTGAGCAGAAAACATGTGTCTGATGTCTCATCCACCCATTCACACAAGCACCTTTTTCTACACCTAAGTGCTTTCTATAAATCTGTTTCTAAAGACAAAGGGGGACTGTGGTTTTGAGATTGTGGCCCCCAAATTGTGAAACCCAAAACTTAAGAACCACCTGTTCAGGCTTGCTCCTACTTAGCTTTATGTAATTATACTATTTTAATTGTTGTATCTTATTCTTTGTGATTTTTTTGTTCAGTTACATGCATTTATGGTTCGATGCCTGGCTGCTACAGCCCGCCCTCAGGCATCACCAAAGCCGTCCACATGAGATATTTTTAAATTATTTCCTCGGCTGCTTTCTGGAAAAAAAACATACTAGCAGCAGCCAGTGGCTCCCTTCAGCCTTATAGTAGATAGATCTATGGTATCAATTTTAAAAACTTAGCAGCATCCTTATCAAATTATTGCATTCACAAGATTTTCAGAAATCTTGACCTCTAGCCTTGAGGTTGAGGTCACTGGGGGTTGAATTCCTCCGAGAGTTTTAGCAGACACACTTAGGGTATCAATTTGAAAGTCCTACGTGTTGTCACCCGCCCGCCCGGCAGGGTAACGACAATACCCCATCAACGACACAACGCTGAGGGGTAGTAATGGAAAAGCTCCACTGCTGTCTTTCACCTTTACTGGAAGGTGCACAAGTCTCCATTGCAGAGCATTGACAGCATATTTTAAAAGTCTTTTCAACTCAAACGTGTGCAGCACATTTAATTTTCTTGCAACTGTTCCATAAATTTTGGTTTTCCACATAATTTGTGCTAACTTCATGAGCCTTTAATACACAGAGGGAGTGTTTGTTTCTATAAAGTTTAGGAGTGGCATTATTTTTCTTGAAATTCACAGTATGAAATACTGCATGGGAAAACGCATTTACCTCAAATATGGCACACAGATTCGATATTTCACACTGAGATCTGATGCTTTCAAGACCAGTCGAGGGAGCGCACCACCATCCTCACAGTCAAACAACAGGACTTTGAGAGCGTGTACTCCGTACCTGGTGAGACTTGTAGAAAAACAGGCTGAAGTTGGTGAAGACAACCCAGAGCTTCTGCCAGCCGTTGCTGTTCTTGAACTTCCTTAGTAAGTTTCCTGATAGCTGATTCTACAAAGAGAAAAACAAGCCTGATTCTGACGCTTTGAAAGCCATCCATATCTCACTATTAGTGCAACACTCGTGAAATTTAACTTCTACCTGCACTTTCAAACATGCAATCAAGCTACTTTGTCTACTTTTCTAAAGAGGCTTCATTTTACTAGGTATAGCTTCCAACATGATCTGATGTCGTTGTGTTGGTGCTGTTCTCAGATCAACAAAACTAATGTTGCCTCAGGTTCAACATTGCAAGTGACCAATCACATTGTACTGATGTCATAGCTTTGCGATTGCACCATCACACCACAAACCACATCGTAACGCTAACCCCATAACCTTAACCCCCAACCATGAGCAGGTCTTTTCCAAATCGCAATGCTATGACATCAAAAAAATGCGATTGGTCAGATGCAATGTTGACAAACACCAACACGAGGAGATCAGATATACTAAAGGTTCCCACCCTAATCTGACACACACAGTGTGTTCAAATTCGTTCATTTAAATGAATTAGACACACTCAAATAATGATTAAACACACTGAAGTCTGCATAATTATTCCTCCTCTTCACACTGACCATTAGCAGACAGTCTGTTCCCATTTTGCCTGTAGTATGTAAGAGCGAAGGTACAAATTTTAGATTCAGTGCAGAAATATACCCCAAATTTGAAGCTTCTGCAGTCTGAAATCTTCAGATTAAATCGATATTTCCCATTTTTCCAGGAAAAAGAAAATTGTGTTTTAAAAAAAGCCAGCAATTCTTACCAAATATTAACTATAAAAAAAAGAAGATTCACTCCAGTGTTTCTTCATGAAGTTGTATTACAGTGAATGTAACACAAGGACACTAGAAAAAGTCTTTCTTAAAATCTAGCTGTGACATGCACTGAACTTCATAAGGACTGTGGATTAATTACCATTAAAATCACTGGCAGTAAGAACAGGAGGAATTTTATCAGAAAGGAAAAATTGTTGAACCTGTGTGTTTTTTTTTTTGTTTTTTTTTGTTTTTTTTGGAAGTGTGACAGACTTACTTTGGGAACCAAGCCTTGAAAACACATCCAACATATACAAGAGAAGATATTTTAACACTAAAGACACAAAAACTGATTCTTAAGAGCCATTTTGTGTCTAAACTTTCTAAGACTTGTGGGAGTAGATGAGCTCTCACAATGGCGAGGGGATTTTTGGCTGGGCTACTACATAAACTTTCTATTTAACCCCAGCATGTCTAGTTGGGAATCACTGGTTTAAAAGAATAACTATAAGGCAGGAAGGAAAAATCACAGTTTTGGCCCCTCTGCAATAAATTATGCTTAATTAAAGTCTTTAATAGTGGTGTTAATACCATAATATTTCACTATGTCGCTATGAGGTATTACTACAACTTTAATTTCAATTTCCTTTCTATAAATCTTGCTTCCTGCGATACAGTTCAAATAAAACATAAACACAGGGCCTCTCCTGTCTGCCTGGCTCCTTTACCTCTAGACTCCTGCAGGATTCACTAAAGGAGAGGCTCTGAACACGGTACCAGCAGATAACAGACAGAGGCACTGGTCCCTGGCCACTCGGGGGCCCCACCAGGGGGGTCTTATTCTCACTGACTGGACTAGGCTCCTCTACCACGCAGGAATGCACAGACGTATGGGGGAAAGAAAGACAGACAGACAGAGAGAGAGAAAAAAAACAGACAGGGAGGGAAGGAGGGACAGAAACACAGAGACTGAGTAGGTGAAACACAGGCATGCAGTGGCAGGGGTTAACACTCAGGCCGACGGTGTGTCCAGGCAAGGCTGTGAAGAGGACATTGTTACAACTACAGAGGAAGAGCAGAACTAGATCAGGACACAGCTGGGTTGTAGGAAGGCTACATCCCAAAACAGGATCCGTTCTGTTAATGCGAATGAGGACGTTTAGCACATCTACGTACTGCTCTCTCTCTATATTTATAGACGGTCAGAGTTGCCAGGAAGAGAAGAAAAAGGACAAAACAACTCAGGAAAGCCACAGTTTGGAGTTTAGATCAGGACGTCACATTGGCTACTGCCAAAAGAAGGAAACGTGAGAACAGTAACCTCCTCGAGGCTGTAAATGAAGTAATCCAACAGTAACTCGTAAAAATAATTCAATGAATAAAAACTCCCCATACACAAAAGATCAGAAGCAGATCGGTTTAAAAGCACTGTGTGGAGGATTTGTTGACTAGCAGTGGTACAGCTGAGTCATGTTTTCACAAACACTGACTGGTCCATGGAGTGTGCTTTGATGCAAATGCATGAGGAACCTTATGCATGAGGGTAGCGTCACATCACATCCTGTCACTGGTTTCACACTATTCCATCGACAGACAGCTGTTTGCGTGAATTTTACGGAAGAGGATTAGGGCCACTGGAAAAAAACAAAAAGCGGGCACGTCTTTTTTTCTTTTCCAGAATTCTGAGAAAAAAAAGTCAGAATTCTGACTTTTTCATCAGAATTATTTTTTCTCAGAATTCTGACTTTAATCTCAGAATTCTGAGGGAAAAAAGTCCGAATTCTTAGAAAAAAGTCAGAATTCTGAGAAAAAAGTCAGAATTCTGACTCAGAATTTTTCTCAGAACTCTCAAAAAAAGTAGAATTCTGAGAAAAAATAATCCTGATGAAAAAGTCTGAATTCTGAGAAAAAAGCTAGAATTCTGAGATTAAAGTCAGAATTCTGACTTTTTCATCAGAATAATTTTTTTTTTCCAGAATTCTGACTTTAATCTCAGAATTCTGACTTTTCAGAATTTATTGAACTTAGAATTCTGAGAAAAAAAGTCAGAATTCTTAGAAAAAAGTCAGAATTCTGAGAAAAAAGTCAGAATTCTGACTCAGAATTTTTCTCAGAACTCTCAAAAAAAGTAGAATTCTGAGAAAAAATAATCCTGATGAAAAAGTCAGAATTCTGAGATTAAAGTCAGAATTCTGACTTTTTCATCAGAATTAATTTTTTTTTTCAGAATTCTGACTTTAATCTCAGAATTCTGACTTTTCAGAATTTATTGAACTTAGAATTCTGAGAAAAAAAGTCAGAATTCTGAGCTTAAAGTCAGAATAATGACTTTTTTCTCAGAATTCTGGAAAAGAGGAAAAAAAAAAGATGAGCCCACTGCCCCCCAGTGGCCCTAATCCTCTTCTGTAGAATTTAGAAAAAAAGAATGCACAATTTAAAAAAAATTAGGGCAGTCTTAATCCACAAGTTTATAGTTAAACTTATAGTACTGACCCTAAAGAAATGTTTCTAAATCTGCAGCTTCACTTGGCTTGATGGTGACTTATGGTGAATTTGAGCTAAATGTGGTAGTTTGCAACTAGCTGTCATTATAAAAGAGCATGTGGCATTTAAGGACACAGATACCTACTGGAAGACTGAATTTTTAGATCTGACAGTGTGGATGGCTACAAGGAGGAATCCAAACGAGCCATAATGTTGCTTTGTATCTGCTTAATGTGTAAATAAGAAACTGTCGCTGACTATTTTGCCTTCATCAAAACAAAAACAAAAACAAATTAATTATAATTTTCAAAATGCTGCTCCGAAGTGGTCAATTATACTTTCACAAACCACTTTATTACGATTACGTTTGATGTGTTTATTTGCCTTCAGAGCTGCCTTCATTTTTTCATGGCATGGACTAAACAAGGCGCTGAAACATTCCTCAGTAATTTTAGTCCACATTAATAGGATCCCTTCACAGTGCACCTTTAAAAACTCACTTGTGTTTCTTATTTCAAGAGCAAACAAACTTCTTTCATTATTTGTTCCAATCAAACTTGTTTCTGATTTAATAATAAGTGTTGTGACATTTAAAAAAGAGTGACCCTTGCTAATCTTGTTTAAAAACAAAAAAAGCGACATTCTGCATTAATGCTCCAGCTGAATTAGTAGTTAATGGGATATAGCAACCTGTTGAGCAGCTTAAGGGGGATACTGTTCCCACTGAAAGATCATCAAAGTGAATTCAGATACAGCACACACTCAGAAACAGAGAAAGAAAACAGCGGGGCAGGAGGAAGGGGGCAGGTCTGAGGTGGGCTGATACCTCCACGGCTATGCTAAAGTCCACCATTGACACGCTGGTGTTCCTGTGCCAGCACACGTGCACCATGGTGTTACCACGGTGAGGCGTGGGCTTCTCCAATGACACGTGGGGAGCTGTCATGTCATCCTCGGACTCTGCCTCCACCGAGGAGTCCTCTGGGCATTCTGGGAAAGTCAGGAGGTTGTTACTGCTAGACAATGAGCAGGATGATGAAAGAGGGGGAAGGAGAGGCGCTAAAACACAGACAGCGTCAGACCAATCAAAAATCAGCATGTATCTGGGAATTCACATGGTGTGTCTCTTAACAGTTAACGCTGCTTCATCACAAAGTCAAGCTTCTCACATTCAGCTGTGTGGCTTCATACTAACTTACTGTTGTCTGTCAGGCTGCTGGTCAGCAGCTCAGATGAAGGCCCATTGCTGGTTTTTGCCATTTCTATCGCCATCTTTACGTCCTCCATCCACTTGTCCATCTCTACCAAAGAACTGGAGGAAAAAACACACAAATGGACAGAATGCTGAACAAAACAAGCACAAAGAGTCGCAGCAGGGTAGGCCCGGTGGTCAGAAATAGTCTGGTTAGCCCAGCCAAATGTTCCTCTTAAATAACAGTAAAACATGAACCATCTGTTTATTGAGGCAAAGCGAATCAGTTAAACATCTGAGGGCGGGAAAAGCATGAACTCACGTTGTTGTTGACTGCATGCTTTATGAATTGAATTTATTTTTATCTTCCAAATATACTTTCTTATACTGTTAGCTTATTTTTATTTGATTTAACAAAAAAAAAGAAATATGCAGATGAGTTTTTAGTAGCTTTTCTGAGTAACCTGCCATCCTCCTCTCAGGGGGCAACATCCCTCTGTTAGAGGGTAAAGCAACAGACTCTGTGTAGCCAAAGAGGCTAAAAGGGAAAAGACTGAAAATCACAATTTTATGAGCTCACTGTAACTAAAAGTAGATGCTTTTAAAGATATAACTCAACGGCATCTAAAATATTTTTAAAAACCTGCCACTTTAGGTTCAAGGTGCAAGGTGTTTGCTGGCAATCGTACCTAGCTGCTACTACTACGGACTGCCGTTGCCCAACCAATGTGAAGGCATGAGGTACACCCCACTCATCCTCACTCTCTCTGATCTGGAAGAAGAACACAGAGACACAGAAAAGACATTAGAGAGCTGCAGTATCTAGGACAGCAAAGACCAAAATAGGCAGAAAAGGAGGGAAGGCGGGAGGGCGGATGAAAAGGAAGCGAGAGAGAAGCAAACGTGTAGCTGTCCTGAAAATATGTGTGTATGTGTGTGTGTGTGTTCCTGTCTACCTATCTTTGTGAGGCCCGAAATCTGCATTCTACCATACTTGTGAGAACCAACAGTCACTTGTGAGGACAAACACGGGTCCTCACAAATTTGAAGGCCTTTTTCAGGCTCAAAATATTGTTTTGGTGTCAAGGTTACAATTAGGTTATGGTTAGGTATTAGGGTAAGGGTTAGGGTTAGACATTCATTTTTAATGGTTAGGGTTAGGGTAAGGTGCTAGGAAAACCACTATGTCAATGAAGGTCCTCACTAAGATAGCTGAACGAGCTTGTGTGTGTGTGTGTGAGTGTGTGTGTGCTAGAGTGGGGGCAGATGTTCTCTAGTAATGACAAACTGGTGACAGCCGCTCCAACGCCCTGTGTTCTTCTGAGAGACAACGGCACTTACTGTCATGCCATGGAGCGGCAGCTGCCCGTGCACTTTGAACTGATTCGTCGCCGTCATCCCTCGACTTGTGTATAAAATGACGTCATCAAACTATTGCAAAAGAGGCAGAGGAGGACACGTTAGTTAAAAATCCTAAGAACAAATTAACAACTCGGTGGCATTAAAAACCAAAACTTAACACTGATATCCTGCACACACAAACGCTTCTCTTCATGCTTATGCAACCAAATCAAATACTCGTGTAAAACACTAAGGCCGCCAAAGTTCAAAGCAACATGTGCTACGTTTCCCTGCGTGAACCTTTGCGGTTGCACTAAATCTGCCAACACCATCTCAGTAATGCATAGCCGGGCAGGATAAAAGCATGATTATCATTTCTGCTGAGATCAGTCAGCTAAATAATTCGATTAGTGATATGAGATGAAGAAAGTGGGACGTTACCAGGAAAAACATTCGCTGCTGCAGCCCTTTTCCAGACAGTTTACTGAGGCAGCCCAACCTGATGAACTCCTGAGGAAAGAAATCATTTGTCACAAAATCTAAACAGAAACAAAAAGTTAAACAAATCTCTCTCCTGTAGATTTCAAACGCACCCGACCAGGAACAACGAGATTGTCGACGCCAATCAAATCCTTCTTCAGCTCCAGAAGTTTCTGCAAGTTCTCCATCTTGATTAGGCTTCCCTGAAGCTGGTCCACCACCTCAGACACATCAGCTAGAGCAGCTGGACACCAACCAGAGGTAAGAGATCGTTACAGATGCTCCGTTACACCAAAACACTGAAATATGCTTCTGTGAACTGAGTGTAACACCTCTGCAATCCCTGAAGTCCACATGAGTAGCTGGGTAATGTTTGCACAGGCGCTCCAGGATCTGCTTGTAGTGAATGAGGCGGTGCAAAGGCCGCAGAATAAAGACGTTGAGGGGAATGTAGCAGACCTTTTGCAGCTCGAAGTCTCTGCAGAGACCCTCCAACCTTCGGGACGCCTTGCACGCCTTCTCAAGCTCCAGCAGGATTTCAGACTGCTTACTCAGGTTTGCTGTCAGGGGCTGCAGGTAAGACTTGTTATCCATGAACAGTCGTGATTTTCTCTAATTAAACACGTATAGAAGTTTAACAAAAAGTCACAGCTCACCTTCAAACCCTGAAGGTTCTTCAACAGGACATCTCCAATGCGCTGGTAGTCTCCCTTAATGTGTGCATTAGAGCGTCCTTCCCTTAATAGAGAAAGACAGCAGTCCCTTTTAAGCAATGTCTCCTAATCAGTGGTTACTATTGGAGCTTATTTCCTGTTTAGCTTGCAAAATCTTCTTTAAAATATATGAAGAATTGCGTCGCTTTATGATGGTTCAGAAAATACAGCTTTCTTAAAAAACTATTTCTATAACCTTTTTTTGTGTAATGTCCCAAATGTTCTTGCATATTCATGTGTGTTTGCTGTACTTGTTGCCAGCTTTTCTTTTCTTTTTTTATTCATTGATTTATTTTCCTGTGTGAAGCTTATTGTAATATCTGCCTCGCTTTGAGCTACATGAATAAATATTATTATCGTTGTGGACAGCGGATGAGCCGGGTAAGCTACATGAAAGCACTTTAATCTCACTGACTATTCAGTCACACTGCGTTCAAGAATAATTCCAATGAAGTTGGAATGGACGCGTTTAACTTCAAGAAACACCAGCAGGTGTCTCCCTTGAGCATCAGATTCCCCATGCAGGATTCATGAGGAATGGGGCTGCCATTACTGGACTTGGTCAGACTAGTTATTAATTTAATGTTAACGTTTTAGCAGGGAATTTAGGGGGAATATCTCAGTCTGTAAAATGCATCCTACTGCTCTTATGAAAGACGACTTTCTCATCATGTTCTTAACAACCAAGGTCCATATCTAGTACAGCATTTGAATATGCAAAGCTGCAAAAAAAGAAAGACAAATGTAGGGGTGGATAATTTGCATATGCATTTGAATGTGGTTCTTATCAGCCGAGTAAAGCACACTATCACTTTCTGCTTTAATTTGGAGCTCTAATGAGTGTGACTAGATACAGGAGACTTTGAAATAAAAATCGCGGACTGTAGTTAATGGCCATAAATTTTAACAGCTTTATGCGTCACTTTCTCCGTGTCTGTGAAAAAGTCAGTGTGTACTAGATAAAGCACAATCATTAAGGAGATCAGAGGGCATACACCCACAAACCAGAATAAAGGCAGGCTGTGGTGCAGCATGACTGTTGCTATGGCGATTGTAGCTCCTTGGGTCATCTAAAGGGACCGGACCGCCCTCTTGGGCTAAATGCCAGCAAAACTCATTAAAAATGGGGGAGGAAGTTGTTTTAAATTGAACCGTAACCCCCGACACATCACCGGGCTTGTTCCTGACCCTGCGGGAAATATCTGGAAGTGAAATGAGCCTCACCACAGTGCCAGCCTCTGCTCCACCTCCCTGAGAAAACCTGTGTGGAACTTGTGCAGAGGCTCAAAGGTGGAGAAGATGGCGTCCTTCAGGGAGTCCGGAGTTGCCTCATCTTGTCCCACGGCACTCTGGAAAGACTGGTATCATACATGCATACAGTGATCTTTCAAGCCATTTAACGAGGGAAATACAGTTTAACCATAAAAGTCTCAGTTCACTAACAAAACCAGGTTTTTGAGTGTTGTTTTTTTCATTGTGCAGGTGGCAGCGCTTGTCTACTTGTGACAAGCAGGTCATGCTTGTGACATCATGACAGGATGTTTACAGATGGTGTTTAAACTCTATTAGAACTTCCTGGTATCTGGATATAAGGCTGATTGTGGGTGAATATTTAATTTTGGCCTATATAAGAAATAAAATACTTGATTTATATGAACTACAGTGCTGTGCAAAATTCTTGAGCCACCCATCATTTTATTATATTTTGCTTCCAAGGGGCCAGATTTTTCTTGTGTTTTTAAAAAGTGGTCTTCAGCAGTAGTTTTTCATTGGCTGTTTTTTCACTCATTTCTCACTCATAAGTCCAGTCGTTGTACCACTCATGTTAGGATGTAAAGAGGAGGTGAACTGGTGATTCTGGTTGTGTGTCTCTATGACAGGCGACCTGTCCACGGTGCACCCAGACTGTTGCCATATGACAGCTGGGAGAGGGTCCTTAGATTGGATAAGCAGGAGAAAATGGAAGAATGAATGGGTGTTGGGTTTTTTGTTTAAACTGAGGGAATTTGAATACAAAAACGCTATCAGATCCACCATGTAGTACCATCTGAAAAGCATTTGATTGGCAAAATCTTCATTTTTCAGCATGACAATGATCCCAAACACACTGCCAATACAGTAAAATCACACCTGGACAGAATAACACACAGAGGAATATTATCAGTCATGCATTGTCCTCCTCAGAGCCTGGACTTCAATATTACTGAAGCAGTGTGGGATCATCTTGACAGAGAACAGAACAAATGGCAGCCAGCATCCAAAGAAGAGCTTTGCATGTCCTTGAAGAAACTTGGAAAACTATTCTTGAAGACTATTTAAAGAAATTAAAGAATGTTTTCCTAAGAGAATTTAGGATGTATTGAAGAATAAGATACCAAATACTGACTTTCAAGCTTGTTAGAATTAAACAATCACCTTTCATACATGTTTACATATGTTTCAATAAATCACAGCAACTATTTCACATTTTTCTAGAAAAATATGAAGAAACGAGGGGTAACTCAAGACCTTTGCACATTTATGTATGATACCAAGGGTTACCAAGAGATCTCCACAGCGATTTTCTTCTGAGAAGAAGAGATAAAGTGAACAGGTAATGAAAAGCCTTTTGCCTCCTTTCAAATCCCTTAATTAGCTGAGGATGAATCGAAGAATCAATAGCCGACCATTCTTAACGCTGTTGTTTCATTAACTCAGAGAGAAGCCTTATGTTTTGTGTTTGTGGACACTGAACACAAAACAGCTTTATTTAGTTGATGTGATGGGAAAAGAAGTGGGTTTTAGGAAAAGTGAGCGCTGGAAACGAGGCGCCAGCTGTTGTTCAGATGACTTCACCCTTAACAGCAGCGGCACCAACCAGAGCGAGGGAGCACACATACACATGCAGCAGAATAAAAGAACGAGGGCACAAGCCCACCCAAAATATTTATGAGATGTGTGAAAGACTCCTCTGAAAACTGCAAGCCGAGAAAAGCTGCGGCTTTTGAACCTGCCAGTGTAAAAGGAGAGCCGAATCAAACAACGGCAACGCTTCAGTCCAGCCTCATAAGGACATCCTCCTTGATTGCATGTGAAGGAGCGGTACCGCACATTTAATATCCTGTTTGTACCCAGCAATTAAATCTACAGGAGCAGGCTGAAGCAGTGAGTCACAGGCAGAGAGCGCATGCGGCTAAATCCATCTATCTCTTTAAACACAAACACAGTTTAGTATTCACAGCCTTGAACGGGGGGAGATAAATGCATTTCGGAGAACGAGCATGGGGAATGAATAAAAAATGAAATCGCATCTGCCAAAATATTCCTGTGTCACTGCCTGACTCTATGTTTTGGCGGGTGCTCTGCAATGGAGCAGCTAACCGGAATAATCAATGTTTTCCCCCCAGAGGACAAGCGCAGGAGAAAACAAACAGGAGAGCGTCGGCTTGGCGAGCGACTTGGCCCATCTTACCACGGTCACCACCTCGAGGTCCTTCACATACGTCCGTTCTGTTGTCAGCAGCTCCTTGGCGATGAAGTAGGCTCGATCTGTTGGGAACCTCTGCAAGGGCATCACAAACGGGGGGGTGCAATCAGCTCCACAAATGTCTAACAGTAACTTTATTCAGGACAGATAATCTGGGTCCACTTCTATTTTGAGTAGCAACTTTATTTAAAAACAAATCTTTATAATGTCACAACAAGGCAATATATTAAAGTGGCTCTTGGTTACAAACCTTCCTTCGAACCTCGTCTTCATCATCAGTGCGAACGCTGCAGGCGTCGTTGAGCAACGGGCTGGTGAGCGGGGAAGGCAGCCGGGCGTCGGGACTGTGACTGCACAGATCCAGCGACTTCTGACCGTTGACCATCCCGTGGGAGTGTCCAGAGGACGCGGACAGGTGAGGACTGTTGGAAACCACACCTGCACGGAGCCATAGGTGACCATAATGAGATGAGAAAACAATGCACGATAAAGTTAGGCAGCTCTGAGAGCACTTGCCTACTTTAAGCCGCAGACGGGTTGAGTTTTGCAGAAATTAAATAGTAAGAACAATTTTAATGACCAAATTGTTAGAATTTCTGAAGCAAACATGAGGTTTCTTTGCTTTTCTCTGTATTACATTGTTATAAAGCATTTGGGGTTTTTTTTTTCAAACTGATTAAATGACACATTAGGAACAAGCTGAAGTGTGTGATGACATTTTCCGCCATGTTCTGACATTTGTTGAATACACAGCTAATAAATCGAGAATGTAATCAACAGATTATTTGATAGGGAAAATAATCGGTAGTTTCTGCTGCACAGAAATGTCATCTTCGTCAGATGCCGTGGTGGCATTTGGCTAACAATTAAACTCTCCAGCATTCGATTCATTATCCTACACTGCACACTTTACCTAATGGACACCTTAGCAAGCTAAACCAAACTGTTTCAATCATTCCATCTGAGGTCTGCTTACAGAAAATATAGAGTCAGCCGTGACTCGCTCAACATTCCAGACAACTCTGGCAGTTTTCTTACCACGTCAATCAATATGCAAGCTGAGACAAATACTGCAGGGTGATCGAGAAGAACAGCTTACTTAGTGTCATCCATTCTGACAGCGTTCACTCAGCTTACTTACTATGTTCCGGCAGCAACTTGCTCACCTCTCTCTGGCGACTTCTGGTGTGTTGGCACGAACGCAACAGCTATAACAAGAACGCAGGCCAGTGCAGCTGGTGGCTGCAGTTAGCTCAATGCACAAGTACAGGTGAGGGAAGGAGTGACTCAGGCAAATACACACTACACACAATCTAGAGGAATGCTACAAAGGAGACGGAAAGGTTCTAACATCTACAGTGGGGACCAGACTCCAGAAAATACACCGACTTCAACGGTTTAAAAAGAAGGATTTGGAAAAAATATCATTTTAATGTCTTTATTGACTCTGCTGAACACATATAGTTCAAAATTGTGTGAAAAGCAGCATAGAAAAGGCCCAGTGAACATCTACAAGAACACCGTGAGCGAATGAATGCAAGACAGAAGACAGACGTGGAAAAAGTGGGGATAAATGCATTCATGCTTCTAGGCCTGTAATAGTAAATGGCTTTATGAATATTTTAGTAAACTGCTTTTTGTTTTCACTCTGTTACTGCTGAGTCGAGAAACGTGTTAATGACAAATGGGTTAATTTGGAAATTCATAAATTATATAATTTATAACATAAACACAAATCAATTTCACATTAGGTTTAATTTAATAAATTACACAATAAGTAAAAAATACTGTACATTTCAGCTCTTTGTAAATGAGCTTGCTGTGATTTCTTACAGTCTAATTTAATGTAAATGTCAATATCTTACTAGATATAAAGTATTGAAATGACAGTAATAGCACAGTATATTACAGTACATACAGTAGAGTGGATGCAGAGAGCAGCCAGAGCAGAATAGCAGGACCTGAGCCATACCACAAATCTGGTTTATCACAGCATGCATTGCAAACAAACCATCAAGGACACCAGTGGGTGAGAACAAACACAAGCCTGGCCCACACTGCAGTGATCCAGTAACTCCCAAATCTACATTATCTTAATACCCTCTCTTAAATTCCAGCGCTAATTTTGATTTATTAAGGATGGATAGACTTCAGTAGGTATTGATAGAAGTGTAAAACCATCATATCTCACTTTTGATATGCCTCTTAATGTCAGCGCTAAAGACTTTCTGGGGGGCAACCGCTGAAGCAGTTGATATGATGGATGAGCAAAGAGACTCTGTGCTTTGAGGTGCTGCCCTTAAACTGCCATTCATACATAGAGTAACGCACGCATTCACCGATACTAAAACCCGCACATTCCCAGGCTCCTGTCATCTACAGTCTCGTTATCTGGATCATTGCAGAAAAGGGAACCCAGAGGCTGGTAATCTTGTTTTCTTGTTTTTTTCCTTAACCACACATTATGAGTTACAGAAAAGATAGACATGCATTCAAAGTTAGAAAAAGAAAAACTTACAAGATCAAACAGTTTCATGCTGACAGACAGGGACAGAGAAAAATAAAGAAATGAAACAGAGAAACAAAAAATGTAAAATAAAGCTCAACCGCTTGTTAAACAGAATACACAAAAACAAGCATGAAGACAGGGGTGCAAAAGAAAGTTAAAAAAGGAGACTGGAAATAAAAGTTAGGAAGACTGCAGCTCGGTGATGCCAAATTACTGTCAGAGATACTTGAACGCAAGTCAAGAGCAGACTGGGATTGTCAACACTGGGCATGAAAAGCCACAAACTGTTGTGGAGTGACCACACTGTAACACTGCAACACACACGTGCTTTTAACTCTATCAGATGAAGCCACTGCCGGTCCCGCGAAGCTACTACTCATGCAAATCTTGTGATCTCGTAACTGCCAAAACATCTGTGAACAAGAGAGCGCAACTCCCCCCACAGGGCAAGGGCTAAACTAAAACTCTGATACTTTGTGATGTTTTTATGACAACATGCTGATGTCAGATTGCTTTTTTTTCAAGGTCAACTTTAACCTTGCGTGCTAAAACTGCTTAGGTACTCATGTCCCCCAAGTGAAGTTTGAAGACGATCCATAAAATTGTGGGTAATATATAACTTTTACTAATTTTCACATTGGATGTGACCTTAACTTTGACCCGATTTTCACCAACATGAAATCAACTCCAGCTGTTATTGATATCTACCATCACACAAAATTTTGAAAATTAGATCTTGATAGCTGTGGACGCTAGACTGATTGCAAACAGATACACAGACAAGCAAACAAACAGAGCCGATTACACACCCCCTCCCTTTGGCGGGACATTTAAACATGACAGCTAAATCATAAAGTTTGCTTCAAGTTAATGAGTTGAGGTACTGCATATGGATCAGCATCACTTCAGACCAGAACTTCTCACAACAATCTCACAACAATAGTAGGTGCTGCATTAAGAGTAAAAAAAGAAAGGTAAATGTACAGAAGTTAACAGTTACTACTACCTCAATGACGCATCAACAGACCCCAGAAAATATTAGTACCAAGCACAAAGTGTCTTATGCAGAAACCTTAAAAAAAATGTAACTAATTTCAAATAGTTAGATATGTCTATGGACAGCTATGGAGCAAAATGTGGATTTTCCATAGGGAGTTTTAAGGCATCGTCTGACTTATGAATAAAATCTACAACATTTTTAATCAGCCTCACGTTTCAAACTGTCTGAAAGCCTCTGTACTCTCTGTAGTTTTTAATTAGTAGCCATTGAGTGTAAAATCCTTAAAAGGCACGTGTCTATGTCCAAACGGACATGTTAATATAATTAAAGAACAGCGAGGCTGAACATTAAAGCCGCTCCATGAAATGGGCAAGAAAAGCCTGAACGGATACATTCGGCTACGTTTAAAAAGTGCTTCTACTCAGCAGTGCTGTGCTGTGACCACTATGGACTCGGGAGTGTGTGGATGTGAAAAAGCCTCCTGCTTACGTTCTGACCCAGACCCCTCTAGCTCTCAGTCGCAGATGGTTTAAAACTTTTAGCGCACTTAACAGCTGAAAATGTGTCCGATATCCTCATCGCTGAAGGCATGGGAAGCATCCTCATCTGCCTCCTCATCCAGCTGGAGGCTGCCAAAGGAAAACGTGTTTCTTGGTATGGGGGAACTAGAATTAGCCTCCGCTGGGCTACCAAACATCACGGGGCTGCTGCAGTTGCCCCTGTTATTTTCTAACTCCGACTCGCTGGACTCTGAGCCGCTTGTGTTCGGGCCATCGTTCATTTGAACTGCTCCGTACTGTGTGACACCGGTTGATCTTAATCGTTTCTGCCCCAGACTGGTCCGCGATCTGCCTGGCGCAGTTAGCCCATTGGCCACCATGCGGCGCTCAAGAGCAGCCATGCGTTCAGCCCGAGAGAGGACAGTACGCGATTCTTGCTTTGCAGAGGACGTTCCTTGGACTGCGTCTGCGTCAAAATGGGCTTTGTGGAATTTCTGTGAGCGAGGAGATCGGCCCATGACGGGAGAGCATCTGCCGTCATTAAAGTTAAGTGGAGTGGGACTGTAGCCGTTCTGGTCTATGCGACTGAGGGAAGGTGCGTGATGGAGAATGTCAATCACAGGACTGGCAGTGACACCTCTTGAACCCGTCACAGTGGAAACCGTTATAGGGCTGTTGCTCTGCCTCTCTTGGACACCTATGTCTCCTATAATGCTATGAACAGGACTTCGGTCAACCGTTTGGCATGACTGCTTGGGAGAATGTTCTAGCTCATGACTCATGATGAACGATGCTCTAGAAGAAGAAGAAGACTCCCTATACATCCTACCCAGAATGTGCTCCTGTTGAGCCTGCAGAGCCCCATTTATCCCTCCAGAGCCAGATCCCCGGGGGAGCATACCCTGTTCTCTATAGCTGTGGTCTGACCTGCTAGCCTGGTCCCTGCCCAAGTAATACTGAGCATCTACATCACTGCAGTCAATGTAGGGAATGGAAAAGCTGCCGCCTTTAGCAGCCCTAGATGCTGGACCTGTATTCAGATGTTCGGGGTGGGTCTGTCGTGTTGGGCTCCTCGTCTCCTCTGTCCTGGATACAGACCCCGTTCTCTCTTCGTGGCCATTTCTCTGATGCGAGGGGCTCATCCTCGCCCGCGAAGCTGCCGGGTCTTCTGCACTCACCAGGACCGACTCCTTCCAATGACGCCGAGGAGAATCAATTCTGTCCCCAGAAGCACCACTCTGCCAGTACGAGACAGGAACACAGGGTTAAAGAATTTAAAGACCACAATTTATTCATTGTATTCATTACTCTTACTGAAGGCCAGGATTTTAAAGTTTTTAAATAAATTCTGCCTGACTTGAAAATACCCTGCTGTACCCCCATGGCTCTGTTTTGTTGGGCAGGCTGGCATCTTCTATGCACACACACATTTGCAGGGATACCACAGCACAGTATTGGGCTACCATGTGTCACCAGAACAGCCCTAGTGCTCCTTATTAATGATTCCCACTCCACAAAGTCTCTTGAACTGTGTTGGAGGGATCAAACACTATTCTTCTAAAAAGATGTTCTCTAATTTGGTGCTATGATGACAGCGTTAGCTGTGTAAAACAGGAGTTTATTCATACCAGAAAAATGATCTTAGAGCATAACAGAGTCTTAAGATCCATGCCTCCGGATGAGTAAGCTGTATTTTGCTGTATTTTTACATTATGTGCATTTTTAAAAGAGAAAACAATGTGAAAAGCGACACTATGGACTGTATTTGCTCAGACAACAAAAAATGCTGTATGCAACAAATTGCCCACTTAAAAGACTCACATCTGTTGGCACTTCACGGTGGCTTGGAGAAGGCAATGGTGACAGGCGACTGTTGTGTTGGACCCGACTGCTGTACTGAACACGACTGTGTTTCCTGGCAGACAGGATATTAAAGGTCAGCGTTATAAACTCTGAGCACCCTCGCCTGTACCAAATATGTCAAACGTATCTGCAGCCTTTACCTTTCAAACGGGATCTTTTTAAATTCAGACTCTTTCACATATTCAATCACCTGCTTCTGCGTCCGACCGCTGCAGAGATAAATACGAGACAGTTAATGATGAGCTATTCTGCAAGCGCCTTAGTAGACTGTTAAGTGATGCTGTGTTCTTGCAGCCATGATAGACAGAGTTTAGCTCTTTGATGCAAATGCTACCTGAATCTAAAGGAGGAGCCTCGTGAGAAGAGTACCGGCTTGGGCTTGGGCTTAGGTTCCTCAAATAGGCGGAAGAAGGCGTGATATTCAACACAGATCTTCCAGAAGACTTTACAGCAGTCCCTGCTTGGCATTAAAAACTCCAGAGTGTCCTGATATGAACTCTGGGGGACACATCAAGACATTTAAACACAACATCAGTCAGTGAGCTGAAGGGTTTCAATATCTTGTGATGTCACTTACATTTAGATCCGGCCTCAGCTTAATGAGGAAGCGTTTTCTCTTGAAGCTCAGTTTTCGAACTTTAGACCAGTTGAAGGCGTTAATCTTTGTGTGTCCCTGAAGTGATGAAAAACAGAATTCACTACTTTGCACTACTAAACACATAAAAAGCGTTTGATACCAGTTGGGCTGACCTGCACTGATTTTAGACTAACCTGGAAGACCAGGACACCCGTGTGCGCCACAGTCAGGCTTAACTTTGTTCCCTCGCGATCCTTGGCAGGATGGAGCCGAATCCCGTACATCTCCAGCCTGCGAGCAACTTCTAACAAATGGTAGTCTGATTCTGCTGGTGTCTGACCACTGTGGTATAAAACAAAACAAATGAAACTATATTTCATGTAGTGTTTAACAGAAACAAATCTCAGGGAAAGACCATAAGCATCAATAAAGCGAACATACTAACGAGCACTGTCGCAAACCTCCACTGTCAAAAAACAAAGACACCTTCTTAGTGTTGGGTTGTCTATACTTTCGAAAACTGGAAGCACTGGAAGCATACTGTGGTGGTTTGAGCAAATCAAAGATGTGGAGCTACCTGCTGTGGGGACCGCTCGCGAATGAGGGACCAGCTGAAAGTAGCTTTTATTTAACCCACATCTGTTAAACTCTTTAATATCTTTTAAACCTTGGTGTTATTATTGCAACAAAATATTCTGTGTTATACGCTCGTCAATTTCTTTTACACACAGGAACACGAGCTTTAAAATTCAATCTATTCATTGTTCACTTTAGAAAGTATTTTCTAGATGGTTTTGGAAATAATTATTAGAGCAGGGAGGGTAAATTCAGACAAAAATGAATCGTATTCCCCTGTTGGATATCTGGCTTATTAAAGTGAAAGACAAAGACAGAGTTCAATCCAGGTTTCTCAAGTTTATCTGAGTTTCTGGAGAAGTGGTGGGAGGGGCTGCAAATGCCAACTAACCTTCCTATTTCTTATCAGTGGATAAGCCTTCCTGTTTCCTGTGTGTGGTAATTAATAAGAGATTTAATTCTACATGGCACATAGCCAGAAGTACTGCAGTCATCAACTAAGAAGGACTCTTGGTGGGAAAAAAAGATCACGTTAAAGGGAGCAGTCGGCTCTAACGGAGCTGCTTTCATGTTGCCGCAGCCACCCACTGCGTGCCCATCTCTGGCAAGACACCCTGTAATGCTGAGGTGAGACAAGTGTTAGCAAAGCATTGGCACATATTCAAACCCACGCACGGTTGGGGGAATTTTGTGAAATGTGCTTTAAGGACATTTGGAAAGTTTCCAGTAACATACCACTCCCAAAACGAGTGGCAGTTATAATAGAAAAGCCTAAAAAGAAGCGCCAAGTTCAATCGCCAGCTTCACTTCTCGCGACCTCCTGCACGAGATGCCTCAAAGCGCTCTCTGACAAACTGCGTTTTTAACCTACTGAACCGGCCGACAGCAGCAGCGTGAGTCATGCAGCAGGTTGAAGGAGGATTTCAGATCTCTGTTAGGAGGAAAGTAGTCTTCATAGACAGAGCAGAAGATGAACTCACATCCACTTCTGGCCAGAAGCTGTAAAACAACTTACAAAGACTGCCTTTTCTAAGCCCGTGTATAATAAAAATACACAGCTCTCTGAGAAAGGAGCCTTTCATTCAATGGCTGTTTTCCTGAATGTGCCACCTCTATAATAAAAGTTCCCAGTGGGACACGCACGCGGTCTGAAACAACATTTCCTGTTGACGGGTTGAGAGAGTAATTTGAGCGCAGCCATGCCTTCAGTGACCTTATGAAGAGAGTTAAACAGAAACTACGACTGGAACCAAACAACTGCCTTATTTTAAAACCACTGTGCAGCCTTGAATCAAGATCTCTACTCACATATTCTTTGAGTGAAACTCCATGATTTTGTCAATGAGGGGCATTTGATCTGGGATGTAGTTGTTGTTGAGGAGGTGTGACCGGCACTGGCTCTCCTCAAAGTCTCCGATCTCAGCTTAAGGTAGACAAGAAAGAAAGGGGGGTGAAAAAGCTCATGTTATACAAAATAAGAATAAAATAAATAAGAATTGATAATAATGAGAATAATAGAAAAGAAAGTCAATGTAGGGTGCTTGTAAAAGCGCTTCAGAGCGTGGCTTTTCTGGAGGAATTAAAGGTTTTTCCTCTTTTAGTGTTTTTTATTGATACAAAAAAACTTTGATCACTATCGTGTGACAGACTGCAGCAGTGAAAATGCTCAGATTTCCTGGCATTGGCACCATCTAACTAAAAAATACCCACCGTAATACACAGATAATCAATTTGCAGTGGTGTGAAGTGTGCACTGTTACATTCACGGTTAAAAGAAAGCATTTAATCTTTAGATGAAATGTTTTCTGTATCAGGATATAATAAAAATAATCCGTGTCTTAGCTGCTCTTAAAATTAGGTAAACAAATCCTCTGATGAACAACAACACATGACATCTTACACCCTATAATTATTCATTTAACAAAAGAAATTCATCAAAAATGAAAAAGCAGTGTGTGAAAAACCCTCACTGCTTCTGCAGGAAATATGAGGCTAAGTAGCCGCTGGGTGCTGATAATCAAATGCACTTGATTAACTGATCATCAGTGAGTGCGAGCACCTCTATAAAAGCACTACTTTAGGCAGCTTGCTGGTCTGGAGCCATTGTTTATTCACACAATGCCAAGAATGAAAGACATCAGTGATTTTAGTGAAGCGATTGTTGCTGATGGTGATGATTTGGGAACTCCTCAAAGTATTCTAGAGACAAATGTGAGGCTAAATCACCGTTTACCTAGCTTTTCAGACACTGCTTCTACATTTTGTTGGGTTTTTTTGTCAAATAAATAACTACTTGCTGTAATTTGTCATGTGTATTTGTTTGTCTGAGGTTGTATTTACCTAGTTTTAACAGCTGGTGAGGACTAGATTCTTTTTTAAGACGTCTTTTCATGTAAAATCTTAGAACTGATACTGTACTTTGCGGTGTACTTTTGTTTTTTTACCATGACTGCCTTTCATCTATGTGTGTGTTTTGTTCCCATGAGCTTAATGACAAAAGCAGCTCCGGCGTTCCTTACATTGTATAATGTAGGAGACCATCAGAGCGGCGCTGGTGTCGTTGCAAGTCAGACGTCCACAGAAAAGGTCCTGTTTGATCTGGAGGGCAAACAGGTACCTGGGCCAAACACAAACAGCATTCGCATTATACAAAAGGAGGAGCTGGAAAAAAGGGAAAAAAAAGAAAAAAAAAGGAAAAAAAAGAAGAAAAAAAAGAAAAAAAAAAGAAAAAAAAAGGAAAAAAAGAAAAAAAAAAAGGAGGAGCTGGAGTTTGGTGTTTTCTACCACCTGAATTCTGGATCAGATTGAAGTCTACTGCTAAACTCAAACATGGCAGCCAAGAGGATTATTGCAAATTCTAACTAAATGAAAAGCATCTTTTGGCTTTCTTTGAACCACAGTCAGCTGGAACAAGTGTACAGTTTAAATTCAGAAATCTATAAGAAGTAAAGTTAGTTTTCGGGACATTTCCTGAACACATTGCACCTCCTGGCTGCAGTCCAGCACAGAAACAAATATAGTCCTGATAAGAGGCATAATAATTTCTTTGGTTTTTTGAGAACATCTAACGTCAGCGCCAACTAGTCAAGCAGTTTACTTCCACCTCCGTCCTTCAGCTGCCGAGTTTGCCAAAAAATATTTTCAATGTCTTTTGCATTTTCAAATCAATGAATAATTATGACAAATAACCAGGATATAAAGTCCAGAACAAGAAAGGAGAAACCGGAAAACCATTAGCTCCGCACTAATCTCCCAGGAGCTAAATCAGAAACGTGGCAGCCCTGATATGTGAACAGCATAGCATGGCGGGGCATAAATCTTGTGGGAACCGCAGCACATTTCATGTTTCCACAATTGTTTTCAGTCACAGTGGAAATAAGTGACACTGATTTACACTGACACACTGTATACAAGTGCACGTTTCATTGCCAAGCGGAAGATAAGCACGCTGTTGGGACGAAGATAAGTTATATCACACAGAGAGGAGCTCACCTCGTCAGCTCCTCCAGTAGCTGGGCGTGGTCCGGGGGGAAAAACTTCACAGAAAACCTCAGGATTGTGTGTTTCGGCCCTGCGTAAACACAACAAAGAGATCTGCTATTGGACTGCATCAAATACACAAAACAGCAGCCCTTTGAAGCGAGATATGCTTCTCGCTCGCTTACAGGTTTTCTCCAGACAAACAAAGAAACGTTCACTGAGAGAGATTTCTTCAAAGAATAGGGTTCAGTATTTTAAAGCACTTACGCCTGAGCTGCTTGATAATGGGTTTGATATGGTCCAACCAAACCTGTGAAAGAGAGAAGACGGTCAACACGGAGCTGATTTTAGGGAAAGCTACGTTAGGTATGCTTGACAGAGGTTCCTCTGTGCTCTCATTTACTCACCATCATCTTTTGTTGGTTCTGAAACTCCAAGCCAAAGTAGTCACCCTCAATGAGATTCATGTGGGAGCACACGAGGTCAAACAGCACCTTGCCTGAGGCTTTTTGCTGTGAACAAAAGGAAAAGACAAAGAGCTATAGTTAATATAACACTGCAACAGTAACTATTCCTGTTTTAAAGTCAGCTTTTGTCCTCAGCATTGAAGTCAAAGGAGACTCTGGTATTTTATATGGTTACATACATAAAGCCAGCCAAACTTCTGGGCCGAATGACACAAAAGAGCACTCAGGCGCAAAAGAGCCCGGCTTTGTTGACCTGTCAAACCCCATGCGAGTGAATGCTACCCAAGTAGATAATCATTTTTTTGACCAAATTCCTCTGCCAGCCTTCGTCCTTCTATTCTTGCTTTCACGGGCTCGGTTGGTCACAAAACCCCTTCCTCCCTGCTGGAGCCAGAGGGGGAGGCAGATCCCGTCTTTGATCTGTGTTTTCAGTGTCACTGCTGTCACTGATGACGGCCCGGCGGCCTTTGAGGTTGATACAGTATCAGGACGGGATAAAGACCCTCCCCGACCACCTCCGTCCTCGCTCGCACCGCGCGCAAACACTTTGAAGAAAGAGCGAGCAGCCCACGTGCTGCCTGGCGATGTGACAACACACAAGCCTCAGAAATCCACCACATCTTTGGAGAGAGAAACTTTCCCATGTAAGGTCAAGTAAAAGTCAGGGATTTCCACTGAAACACTTCTGTTGCAGGCACCCTGAGAAGACAGAGCTCTGTCAGGCGCACACACAGCAGGAGAATTTCTGCCTGGCTGCTTCCTCGTGACTGCTTTGCACCAGAGCGGAGCGTGTCCCAGCTATAGCATGTGAGTGTTTGTAGTAGCAGTTCCCTTTGGTTCGGATAATGATCCAGGGATGTCTCCGAGTGGGTTTCAAGGAAGCAGTTTCTCCTGTGCTTTTACATAAAAGGAAGAGTGAGTCGCAGAGACGCGTCACATGAATTCCCCTTCATGCAGCTCAACTGTATTAAAGGGTCTCGCCCGCCTTTAAATGTGTCTGGTTTCACAGGCAAACAATGATACAGTCTTTGCTCCTGTTGCTCAAAGAATAAAAACACAAGCTTAGCCAGCTTAGTGAAAGGGTTTACACTTTCACAAAAAAATCCAAAGTCTTTCCCAAACAAGCGCCCACTCACAACATCAGCCACTCCCCCCCCCCCCCGCGTCTGTCCTTCCTACACAGCACTACTGTCTCTCGTCAGGCAGCGCAGAGGGTGTCCTCTGTCACCATATGGAAGCCAGTTGTTTCCATATGGTGACAAGCAGGCTAGAGGGAAAGAGCTTAAGCCCTTCTCACACGTAAATATTCCACCCTAACTGAGGCAAATGAACTCCTGAATGACTTCTATGTCTCATGTTTTCTGAACAAATGTGCTCCAGGAAAACGTACGGCGGACAAACCGCTGCAGATGCAGTGTTGAGGCTCAAGAGTGTTTCTGTCTCACGTATCCAGCCCTATAAATCTGTTGTCGGGGCAGAAATGACCGCGAGCCAAGCAGAGATGGGTAAGGCCGAGGCTGATTAAAGCTTGACAGTGCTTGATTAAATGCAGCTGTTGCAGACTGGAGTTACGGCACTGCCATTTGACACCGCTGCAGCCGGCACAATAATAAGGCCACTGTTAATGATGCACAAGACCCAAAGATGACAGCTGTACTGGCGCAGGCACTTGGAGGACACTTAGTAACACAGTACTCACTTTAGAGTCTCTAAAAGTCTAATTGCAGCTACGTAATAATGAAACCTGGCACAAAAGCAACTTGTCTTACAAAACCGAACCCTCTTAGTTGCCATTTTATTAGATACACCTATCTATTACTAATATACTGCAATACAATAGACATTTAATCAATCCTAGCAGGATATAACCCGGAGGGGATATACAGTACTGGATTGGAGTAGTTTTAGTTAAAGTCTGAACCAACTGTTTACGAAGAAAGACGCTCATCTTTGGACAGTACAGGTGTTACTAGATTACTACAACTGACTCCATTTTTTTCCATTGGGGAACCTGTAGGCAGGGATTTTCTCTTATTCAGCCACAAAGGCAATAAGACCATGAGATCAATATAGACTATATGGACTATATACTGAGCCACACCTCTTTGTCATTCTATTCAAGTGTTTCATTCAATCCCATTGTTGCTGATGAATGAAATCAAGCACGTATTCATGCTGTCTGTCTTTACAAACATTTCTGAGGAATTGGCTGTTATAGCACAGCTGCAACAAGTCTTTAGTGAAATTTCTTCCCTTCCAGACAATCCACAGTGAGCTGTATAGTAAGTGGTAATATTGCAAAGTCAAAGCATTCACGAACCACAGCAATTCAGCCATGAAGTGACACAATAGGTAGTCACCAGTGCTCTGCTGACTCAATAACTGCAGATTTTCAAAGTCCTCTGACTTTAACATCAGCACTGGGAGCTTCATTGTATGGGTTGCCATGGCAGCAGCATCTCCTTGCAAGGCCAGTGTTGGCTTGAGTGATGTAAAGCATGCCACCGCTGGACTGTGGAGGAATGGAAACGTGCTGCAGTGATAAATCTCATCTCGTTTCTCTATCTGGCAGTCTGGACACCAGACTGAGTTTAGTCTGGGTTTAGTGAATAGCAGGAAACACTGCCTGCCTGAGTGCACGGTGCCAGCTGTAAAGGTTGGTGGAGGAAGGATAATGTTATGGGGTTGCTTTCTAGTTCCAGTGAAGGGAAATGTTAATGCTTTAGCTCACTGTGACATTTTTTTTTATAGTTCTATCCTTTCAGCTTTTGCAGAGGCTTTTCTGTTCCAGTGGGACTGAGCCCCACTGCACAAAGCTCAGTCCAAAGAATGGATGGATGATTTTGGTATGGAACAACTTAACTGTACCACACAGAGCCCTAACCTCAACCCCACCGTACCTTTGAGATAAACTAGAAAGAAGATTGCCAGCCAGGCCCTCTCATCCAACATCAACGTCTGACCTTAGAAATGCTATTAAACGAGCACAAATTGCCGCAGACAAGCTTCAAAAGCTAGTAGAAAGTCTTTCCAAAAAGAGGGGAAGCTGTGTTAGCTGTAAGGGGGGAACAATTTCCATAATAATGCACATGGATTTACAATTCCAATTCCCAAAAAGTTGGGATGATGTGTAAAATGCAAAAAAACAACAACCCAGAATTCAGTGATTTGCAAATCCCCAAATTTACAATAGAACATGGAAAACATCAAATGCATTAACTGGGAAAATTACTGAGACCAAATCATTTCTGATCTATTCACAGCTGAGATTCTGACCTTTCTGTACAGGAAAAGTTCAAGTATCACAAATAAAATAAATGAAAGCTCTGTTCAAGTGTGCCATTAAACCACGGCAGTGTGACAGTGAGCCAGCTTGCAACTGAAGTGGGAATGAAATCCAATTGTTCATTATTTCTGAATGGGTGCCTGCATGTTGGTAATGAGTGCCATAGCTGCCACATATTGTCAAGCACATATATGTGGGTAAATCCTAATCGTGTTGATACATGCTAACACTTTCAGAAGCTACATTAAATTAGCTGTTTTTTTAGCATTTCCAGAGCTTACATTTGCTGGCACTAGTCGGTACTACAATGGGTCTTGAAGAAAACACAGATATTAATGTTCTGTGGGAATAATTTCTTCACAACTCTTTGGTTTTCTTTCCAATATTGTTGGGTCTGTAGCCTACAATATCAAGTGCCCTGAGGCAACTGTTGTTATGAATTTGTGTTTTATGAATAAAACTTCGAACTGAATTGAAATATTGACTTGTAGCAATGGCCTAGTGTGAACGTCTGGATTAAGAAACATCCGATTTAAAGGGACAGTTAACTTAATCATTCAGGTTGTTTTGGAGTGAGTTGCCCATATTTGAAGATATCAGCTTTAGAAAATATTACCCCCTGTTGAAAATAATGGGACCCGATAGCACTTCCCTTGAGGTGCTCCAAGCTCCAAAAACATTAATGTGAAAAAGTAAGCAGCAATATCTCCTTCTAGAAATCATGACCTGGTTACTCAAAAATCCTCAAACCCTGTTGTGAGCACTTTAATGTAGGAACTCTGTTTGTGTGCATTTTTTTGGCATCTGAAGCAGCACAAGGCAAGTGCGATCATGTTCCATTAGATTCAAGGAAAGGCACTGATTTCCACAGTTGATATCTCAAAAACTGGGCAACGCACACCAAAACAATGTAGATGGGTCATTAGCACTACAGGCCACAGACAAAAATACTTGAATTTAATCTCAGAGTGACCTGTTCATTTAATTTAATTTAGGTCACTGAAGCTGTAAAGACACAAGATAATTTACTGTGTCAATTCACTGAACCATTAATTACAGCAAAGCTGTCTGTTTTTATATCCTCTGTTCATCCAGATGGCAAACAGTACATTTAACTCTTTAAAACATAAACAATGAAATAGTTGCCCGAAATTTATATATAAATATATTTGATGATTACTGATGATTTAGAAGTCTCAAAAAAATCACACAAGCTGTATCAAATTAAATACACTAGGTGTTAAGGGGTTAAAAATCTAGGCATCAAAGTAGTCTCTAAGAAGACTGCACAAGCACCAATAAAGTCAAAAGGCCAACGCTAAAGTGTACAACAATCAGACAAAAAAGAAGCTGTGACTTCTTCCCTCTGACAGTGCAGCTGACTCAAACCTCTACATACATGTCGTGCAGCCTCCGCTTTCAGCTGAAAGGTTACAGTCTTAGGAAACATCATCATCAGGACCTGACATTTCTTTCATCATCTGGAATGCCAAGAAAATGTCACCAATCTTCCTTTTCATGGCCTCTATCTATAAAAAAATAAGGTTTACAGTTTACATAGGAGCCGTCAATTGCAGCATGAGGCGACGCTTTCTGAATCAGCAATCTCAGACCAGACAAAACCCGCCGGGAGACTCTGTCTGGGTTCATCAGGCTTAAACATAGACTCATAGGAGGCTACAACTGTTTACATGTGTGTGAGTGTGAGTACGGCTACGCCGCTGCATTGCCCTCTGCATGCTCCGACTGACAAAATGCAGCTAAATAAAGATGACAGCAATGTCTGCCTGGGTTTCCACTTCAGGGTAGACCAAACACTCCCCCCCAGCACCCTTTGTTAGTAAGCTCCTGTCAGCAAAAAGAGATAAAGGTCAGGTGTAAAGCAGCTCTGTGTTCCCTCTACTATTCCCCTGCAGGAGATATTCGTATGGCCCACTTCACCCACAAAAAGCTAGGCCAGGCGATGCTGGACAAACCTGAGGTTGTGTGGGGTAATGGGGGTGGGTGCCATAGATGGCAAACAGACTGCGAGTGCCTCGAGGCTCCAGATGGACAGAAAAAACAAAGGGAATCGTGTCTGGTTGAATATACTGCTTGGTGCATGGGAGGAGTTGATGCTGGCATTAAAGCAAAGGGGTTAGACATGACTGAAGAGGGACGTAAGAGTTTATTCTTTGTCTTTTCCTGTGTCGTGGACCCTGCTGGTAAACTTGTGCCTGCTGGTTCAGTTAAACCTCGACAGAATGTAGAGTAAGACTCTGCCAGCAGGAGGTTTTCAGCCGTGACATTCAGCAACGTCACAGGAAGTCGACTGAGGTCACGGATGAAAGAGATGTGTGTGTCATTCAAAGAAAGGAATAAGCAAGTGGTAAAAGGTCAATTCTCAGATTCAAAATATCTGCAGCGCTTATCAGATAAGGTCCCAGACAGGCTTAGCACCATTATAAAAGTGGTTATTTATTTATTTTTAAGTGATATCAAACCGACGTTTGATTGACTTAGTGCCGGAGACTGAAAGTGAGCTTTGCCAGGCAAAACCTTTGCGTCATACTTGTCACTGTGGTAGAAGTGGAAAACCCCAGGAACGAGTCTTAAGTGAACCACGTCTCTTTTGATAAAGCTGCTGTAGGAAGGGCTGAGATTACAAAGTGTTTACAGTAGCAGGCACATGCATCCTAGCCGGAATCCCTCTTGAAACCGCTAACTAACCATCCCATACTCCCATGGGTTCTGTCTCATTAAAGCCAACTATTCAAAGTACTGTCCTGCACATGTGGGCGTCTTTGCATCTGTGCTGTGGTGCCCGAGGAGGGGGAATGAAGGCAGGACAGAGAAGTCAGGAGCAGCTAAAGCTCATTCAGATTCAGGTCATGCTCCGCAGAGGTTCTCAGGGTGATTTGACTACAGCAGGGATATGACAAAGGGATAAAAGGAGGGAGACGAACCCGCTGATAATCCCGTCAAATTACTGGCGTGCTCCCGGAGCTCATACAGATATGTGATGAGGCATATATTGAACCGTTTTAATGGACGTGAAACACTTATCATGACATCTAAAAGTATTATTGTGCTTTTAGGAAATAATCAGCAGGTAAATGATTTAACTATCAAGCCCCCCCCAGAGCCACTCTGTCACACGAGAGAGGAGAGGACAACCATGAAAATAACGCCTGGATTCTGTCAGAGGTAGAAAACACCTCCTCCTGCTTCTCTCTTGGAACCCCCCACCCCCGGACTCATTACGTTGCCCGCCTAGCCTCCCAGGAGTCAGGGCTGCAAGAACCATATTGATTTTGCATAAAGTACAATTAAGTGTCCTGTTGTGGCCATTGTGCTGCTGAATATCTGTGCATCTGAGCAAAGACCTCTCACTGTCAGTCGCTGCACCACAAATTAGCACAGTTGCAGGTTTGCATCGTTAGTGGAGACGGTAAACAAGCAGCAGCAGAGTTCAACCAAACATGCCAGCGTGCTTCGCAAAGATAAAGCTACGGGACTACGTTAAACCCACACTGAGCCAACACAACGTGAAGTCCTATCAGGCCTTAACCCAACACTGAGCATAATTAAAATATGCAAGAGGGCAAGAGCGGGTTTTAAGGCAGCTGGAATTACCAAAAAGATTGGCCCCTTTTTTTCTTCTTCATCTGTCCAAATCGCTTTCAGAGTGCCTCAAATTCTGAACCCATGCTGGGTATTCTCCACCACCGCCTCTCTTCAGAGCTGGGGATTACTGTCACTCAGAGGGAGGATGCGTCACTTCACATTTAGGCAGAAACTCCCCATTTAGCTAAGCTCAATAAAGGCAGCCTGAAGAACAGAATTCGTTTTGTGTCACCGCATTACCATAAGAAATACAAAAAAAGGAAAAGAAAGAATGAGCCCAAAATACATTTGCCACCAAATAAAGAAAATAAAATACAGAAATTCAGTCTCCATCCAGCGTTATGAGGTCAAGCTATTTTTTTTCCAGATTATCAGATGTCATCTCACCAGATTCTAAAGACCTGCATGCATAAGATATGCGAAAAAACAGCCATTACCTGCTGATTTAAAAGCAAATTGTGTAACTGCAGCTGTAAATACAGTTTTCCTGCAAAGGTAATTATCACCACCTGCAGAATTAAGAGACCGTGTGTTCTCTCGCGTAGCTGTGAGTACTGTGGAGCTCTGTACGTGTGTGCAGGCAATCAATAGGTTAATTAGGAGCTTAATTAACTGTAACTGTGAGAGATAACTCCCACAAGGTCAGGCCAATAGGGAGAAAGCGAAAAAGGCAATCCTTTCACATATATATAT